CCCCTCGCGGTGAGATTGTGCTCCCCTCGGTGAGTGAATGAATGGAGTATATTTTGACCCTTGTCTCCCTCTCGAATTTTTAAGCTGGACATATTCATCTCTGATCGGAGCTCTGTCGGAATCTGCAAACCTCACAGTTACCCCCTCGTGATCTCGCACTCCCAGTCACATCACATCCCTATATTATACTTTAATCGTTATCTTTCCTCTCTCTCTCTCTTGCTTCCTCCTCTTTCTCTCTCTCTCTCTCATACATTTTCTCTCTCGCTCTTTGTCTCTATTACAATGTTTATTGCTGTCTTCATTTCTGTCTCTCTCTCTCCCCCCACCTTCCCCACTGCCCTCAATGTCTCTCTCTATCTGTGCCCCCCCCACCCCATCCTGCCCTCTCTGTCTTCCCCACCCACCCCCCCACACAGGTTGAGTACGAAGGGCTGACGGGCCGAGTGGAGTTTAACAGTAAGGGACAGCGGATGAACTACACTCTGAGGATCCTGGAGCAGGGCAAGGATGGTCACAAGCAGGTACTGGCTGGCCCTGAGCTCTAGGGGATAGTGTGACCAGTGATTGGGGTGGATTGGCGGGGGGATGGAGAGCTGGCTGGGGTCGGGGGGTTGCTGGGGTGCATGATGCTATCTCTCTCTCTATGGTTCCTGAAACCAGTGTTGGCAGGAAATTCCTGACACACACAGACCCCAGCCCCGACTCTCCCCTTCTATGAATGGACTATCTTTCTTTCGCCCTCTCTTTCTCTCTCTCCCCTTCCACTCTAATTTTCTCTCTCTCTCTCTTTATGTTTCTGCCTCTGTCTCTCCTTGATTCTCTTGCTTTGTCTCTGTCTCTCTCTGTGTCTTTCACTGTCCCCCTCTTTCTCTCTCTCTCTCTGTCCTTCTCTGTCTGTCTGTCCCTCTTTGTCTGTCTGTCTGTCCCTCTGTCTGTCTCTCTGCCCCTCTCTCTCTCTCTCTCTCGCTCTTTCTCTGTGTCTCTCTGTCCCCCCTCTCTCTGTCTCCCCCTCCCTGAGCCCACCCTCCGGCCCTCTCTCCCCCTGTCCACCTCTCTGTCTCTGTCCCCCTTCCACTGTCAGCCCCCTCTCTCTGTGCATTCCTCTCTCCCTCTTTGTGGCCCCATCTCTGTGTGTCCCTCTGTCTCTCTGACACCTCCCCCCCCCAACATCCATGCACCCTACCTCTCTGTCAGAGTGCCTCTGGGGGAGGTGGGTGAGCGTTGTGGGGAAGGCAGGGTGGTGCTGGGCTGGGATGAGGGTAGGATAGGCTGGTGGGGGGTGGTCTCTGATTCTCACAGTTCCTGCTCTCTCCCCCTCCCCACCCCCCTCAGATTGGGAGCTGGCACTCGTCTCGAGGATTGATAATGGATGCCACCTTCCTTGATATCAACGTGTCGGAGACACTCATCAACAAAACCCTCATCGTCACCACCATCCTCGTGAGTTCACACTTGGCCAACGTGGGGTTCCACACTAGCCTACTCACACTTACCCTCACACTCACTCTCACCCTCCCCTCACACTCACCCTCAACCCTCACCCTCACCCTCACATTTACCCTCAACCCTCAACCCTCACCCTCACACTCACACTCATTCTCACACTCACACTCACACTTACCCTCAACCTCACACTCACTCACACTCACCCTCACCCTCACACTCACCCTCACCCTCACCCTCACCCTCACACTCACATTTACCCTCAATCCTCACCCTCACAATCACACTCACCCTCATCGTCACCCTCAACCTCACACTCAACCTCACATCCACCCTCACACTCACATTTACCCTCAAACCTCACAATCACACTCACACTCACCCTCACACTCACACCCACACACACTCACACTTACACTCACACTCACACTCACTCACACTTACACTCACTCTCACCCTCACACTCACACTTACCTTCAACCTCACCCTCAACCTCACCCTCACCCTCACACTCACCCTCGCCTTCACTCTCCCACTCACTCAGCCTCACACTCACACACACTCTCAAGCGGCAGTAGGTGTGAATGGGTGAGTGAGTGGCGGTTAGTGTGAACAGCGAGTGTGAGGCGGTAGGTATGAGCAGTGAGTGTGCGGCAGTAGGTGTTAACAGCGAGTGTGTGGCGGCAGGTGTGAGCAGTGAGTGTGCGGCGGTAGGTGTGAACAGCGAGTGTGCGGCAGTAGGTGTGAGCAGTGAGTGTGAGGCAGTAGGTGTGAACAGTGAGTGTGCAGCAGTAGGTGTGAACAG